CAATTGCATTATGTCTCGTAGTTAACAGAAAGACAGAGAAGGATTGTGGGTTTAAGAAAGCAGAAGAAAGATTAAAGTTGAAGTTCTTTGATACCACAACGCATTTAACAGTTTTGGAGGAAATGGTTTGTGACAACTGTGGAGTTTTTTCCTGAAACATGAATATTCAAATTTTTTCAACACAAGTATTTTGTTCCATTTGTATGGACGAGGCATGAACGAAATAGCTGTAAGTAGGCTCGTTATGCTGATGCTTTGTACAGGCGATTACTTCTCACCGCTGACAGTCTCTGATTTATGCACCCGCATTTTTCGTGTTATATCAAATTGCCACTTTCTAGTATTAAGGTTACACACAGCTCCGAGTGTCTATCTGGTGGCTATGCGTAAATCCAAGGCTATTCTGTTAAACGCACACTCACTCCCAGCAAAATTGAAATAGCACAGCGCTGTGTTCGGGGCCCTGAACTCTTGTTTGGCCTATCGTGCACGGCTAGTGACCACCCCGGGACTAACACGAGATGCTGGCGTACTTATTTCTTGTGCGTGTCCTCTCTCAGACACGTCCGATGCGACCTACTCATTTTGATTTGATATAGACAACTTGTAATGAGTAACATTAATTCCAGTTCATTACTGATCATGGGACCATGGGCGGATCCTTAATGTTTATCATTGAAATGTTACCTTATGAAACGGGTCCCCAAAGTCGCCCTTATTTTAAATTAATAAGAAGACCTAGAGTTATGGGAATTTGCCTTAGAATAATTAGTATCAAATTAATGATTACATACAAGAGTTATTTCACAAGTAATTGAAAGATTTTAAGAATTATTCTAGAATTCTGCAGAAAGTTCTTTATTGTTTCAAACAGAACAACAAATCACGATCAAATCACTGGTTATCTAAAAGTTAAGATAAATTTTTGTTAGGTTTCTATACTTTCCTGGCCGGATCATTTGATATTTTGTAAGTTTCTTGAATTTCTATCTAATTCTAAGTTCAATTATTTGATTAAAAAATTAATATCATTTAAATATCATTTCAATGTCTCTTTCGTTTTTTAACGTGTCCATGATTGTCCTTATAAGACAATGAAATCGGAATTTAAAATTTGTTTGCATGATTCGAGAATGTTCCAGATGAGTGTACGCTGTTCAAATATTTTTTTCTTAGAATCGCAAAAGATGAACAGGAAATTGTTGCATCTGAGGTAAACTTTGTAAACATTTCTAAACCCATAAAAAATATCAGTGCATGTTAAACTAATAATAGCCTTTTCTGTTTTGTTTTTGTGGGTCGAAAAGGTATTTTAAATTGAGCTATATAACTTTCTTATTAGGCAAAGCGGTTTTAATTGGACAACCTTAAAATAAATTTACCTCATCATCCAACTGTACCTACTCATCGTTTTTTCGCGCATATAAGACCCACCTAATTTTAAAGGCACCCGTTTAAAGGACGCACCTAATTATAAAAGGCCCCCTTATATAAGAAGCACCTAATTATAAAAGGCCCCCTTATATAAGAAGCACCTAATTATAAAAGGCCCCCTTATATAAGAAGCACCTAATTATAAAGGAACCCGTATATAAGAAGCACCTAATTATAAAAGGCCCCCTTATATAAGAAGAACCTAATTATAAAGGAACCCGTATATAAGAAGCACCTAATTATAAAAAGCCCCCTTATATAAGAAGCACCTAATTATAAAGGAACCCGTATATAAGACATGGGTTTAAACGATTTGTGTAAACTAAAATACGTAAGACGCACACGGCCTAGCCATCTGCCGCACTGAGCAATTTATTTACCAATATATAGGACTCAACCTGGATGCGGGGTATGTACACCTTTGTATAAGATGCGTCTTATTTACGCCAAAATAGAGTAATGTTAATTATTAAATCGTATGTTCTGTTGGCTTTTGGTCCCATAATAGTACACATTTAAAAGCACTCAATGTTGCCATATTCCAATATTTTTTAATGGACTTCATTTTTTTAAAATTTAATTTTTATTGATAATTGGTCTTTATTTTGACATTGATAAATATATCTTTTGTTCAGACATTAGTTAAAAGTTTGATTGGGCATGACAATTGAAAAGAATGCCAAATGACAGTGGAGTGCATCAGAAAACCCTACAGGAAAACGGTTCAAAGACAGACCTTGGCTTGGATGGATGGGTGATTTGAGGAGGGATCTCCAGCAGCTGGGAATCCAAGCATTAAAAAGAAAAGCTTCAGTTAAGTCTAACTCGAAGGATGTTTTGAGGCAAAAAAATGTTAAGTCCTTATTTCCAAGAAAAGACATTTTTTTTCATCTATGTGAAAGTTGTAAGAATGATAAATATACAATAATATACTTATTCTTTGTTACTAAATCATATTCAAAGGGTTTAGACAAAAAAAAGTCGTTTTTTGTGTGTTAATTTAACAAAAAATATGTATAAAACCAAACATACGTGATGAGAAAAAAATCTTTTCATAACACCGTCCTGACTTTGATAAACTGTTGGTCTATACGCGCACCACTTAAATTGTAGTGTGCCAACTTACTTCCCTGTCCGTGCAATAGGTGAACCAAGATTTTTGCCCTAGAGCAGAATTAAATACTTCGTCTTTGTCCCTTGGAAGCCTGACACTAATTACCAGTCAAGCGTATAGAGCAGTAGGACGTAATGTTAATATTGATCGATTCAGTTAATCAATATTATGTTACGTACAGCTATGTTTTTTATGTGTGGGGTTTTTTGTGGTTTTTGTGTGTGGGGAGGGGGGGGTGGAGTTTCTTGACAATTTAATCTGCGCTAAGATTCGTCTCGTCAAATGAACAATGCGTAACAAACGACTGAAGGCCAGTATACAAAGAAAGCAATGCTAAAGCTAGTGATTCTAACCAAATTTATTTTAACTATGCTATTAATTTTCTATGAAATTACACATATAAATATAAAGAAATAAAATAAACTAGATGAACTTACGGTACAGTAAGTATAAAAAAAAGTACAATCCTCGAAATTTACACATATTATTTTACACACACATCTTGTATGAGTGTCACACCTGCTCGTGTCTAAGGGTATTATGTTATTATGTTATATCAATTTCACACACTAAGCGACATAATTACCGTAATCATTTATGCCTAACTATCAAAGACTTCATAACACAATTCAGTAAATGAAATAAACTTATTTATTTACAAGTGTTTTAATTAAGGATATGATATCCCAGGGATATGAAAAAAAAATTTCATATAATTTTTACTATAGGTTCTACTTCATTATGAATATTGGCTTCCAGTATAGCCTAACAATCATCATAATAGTCGCTTTGCTTCAGACCTTTCTCAACATACGGCCAACGGGCCGCATGCCACCCGCCAGCATCCACTTTGCGGCCCGTGAAGTGACGAAATATTCATAATTCTTATTATTTTCTTGATAGCTTTTCCCCCGTCCTATTTTCTTTTGGCCCACACTAGTCCTGTCCAATATTCTTTTGGCCCGCACTAGTCCTGTCCAATATTCTTTTGGCCCGCACTAGTCCTGTCCAATATTCTTTTGGCCCGCACTCGTCCTGTCAAATATTCTTTTGGCCCGCACTAGTCCTTTCCAATATTTTTTTGGCCCGCACTAGTCCTTTCCAATATTCTTTTGCCCCGCACAGGTTATTCATTAAGTATTACGGCCCGCCTTTCCTTTTGTGTTGTGCAGGCCTGCAATAGATGATACACATAAAGAGTGGTGAGCTTATAAAAGGTTTGTTATGTCAGGTGGGACATGTCATGTGTTTCATGTCAGGTATGTCATGCCAGCTACGTCATGCCAGGCGGGTCATGTCAGGTGTGTCATGTCAGATGTGTCATTTCAGGTGTGTCATGTTTAAATTCACTCCGGTGTACGAACACTTTTTCAAACACACACATTCATTTTAAGAACATTTATATAACTTGACTATATCCAATGTTCTTGCTGTTCGTCCTTTACCTGTAAGGATGACACATTTGGTTCAACGTTGGACATGTGGGTGGTTTGCCAGTTCTATACGAGCCAGGAAAGCTTTACCCCCAGCACGTATGACTTACTTTGAATTGGAGTCGATACTGCTTTTCTTTGCGCTTTATTTGGGCGTGGGTGGTACGTTACTCTGTGAAGACGGCACTCCAAAAGAGAGTGCCTTGCAAGCCTGCAGGATCCCTTAGAGAGTCTGTCTCATTATCTTGTAGGATCCAACAGATATTCTAGCTCACCAGCTTGTAGTTTCCATAGCAAATTTTCCCCGATAATTAAATTTGATGTCGATGAAATCGAAAATAAGACCATTCCACATCCAGAAACTCTGGCGGAGCCTTACGAATGCAAGATTTACTTTAAAAAATCGCTTGTTAATTTCCTCATCTATCGTTACTGACCTGGAAAGTTAGTTTCTAAATATGAATATTTCCACTAAATAGAGATTATGTTAAGCATTTTGAAAAACCCATTAGGCATTTTTTTTTACTTTTCTGACATTGTTTACATTAATTTAGTTCAGAAGGAAAATAAAATAATAGAAAGTGGAAACATATTCTAATGAAGAACAGTCTTTTATCACATCAGTGAGAGGCATAAAACTTGTGCTGTTCTAAAATCAAGACACTTGGCTGAGGCTCAAAGGTGGGAATCCCTATAGTCGAAATTGCACTTATTTAAATTAATTCATAATCAAAAATTTGGAAATGAAAATATCATGCATAATAATCACTAAATTTAAGTCTTTTAGTTTTGATTCCTTGTATTATTCTTATGTCAAATTATTGGCATGAATGTCTGAGACTTCAATTTGATGTTCACCTAGCAGCTCATCAGAAAGAAAATGAAATTTGGTTTGGAAGTCCTTTACTTTTGCTTCATTGACGGCCGGATCAGTAAACTTTACTTTGTGTTGTTCAGGCCTGCAGTAGATGATATACATAAAGAAAGGTGAACTTTTAAAAGGTTTGTTATGTCAGGTGTGACATGTCATGTGTTTCATGTCAGGTATGTCATGCCAGCTACGTCATGCCAGGCGGGAGAACTTCTAAATATTTCCGTAAAAAAATGTTTGCGTTGTAGCCCCAAAACTTTTTAGCATGGTATTCTCGGCAAAACAGCTTGATGCTTTCCTTGGCAAAAATGAGATAATATGAGTAAATTCACGTCGCTGTCCGTTATAATTAGATGTTAACTAATGGAGTGATGTGCAATTAGCGTTATCAATAAAAGTAAATATAAGGCTAATTCAGGAATATGACGAACACGCAAGACATTCATATCACGTCGCGTAAAAGTTTATGCGGAAAACTCAATATATTTTAGAAGTGAAGCTAAATAATCACAATGTCTCACAGGGCATAGAAACAAAATGAATAAGCCAAACTGAGATTAATAAAGTTACATGCAAGGGAAATAAGTGTTGTTGTTTTTTTAAAATAAAAATTGTGATTCTTCACAACACTTTTATTGCATATTTTCATAAATAATTTTTTTTTTTAAATATCAATAATTTAAACGTATTAAATTGCTGTTAAATGTCTCATAGTGTTGTTGATTGACGATACCATCCAATTGTCAAATTTGCTGATGATGCCTCAATTGTTGGCTTAATATCTGAAAAGGATGTTTGTTTTGTTCAGTATTTTACTAACAAGTTTTATAAATCGGTGTGATAGAAAAGTTCTTCTGATGAATGTCACAAGAAACAAACAAAAGAGTTGTCGAGTTCAAGAAAATTGGGGGTGGGGGGGGGGGCAATTTCAGTTCTCACGATAAATACTCATAGTGCAGGAAAGAGCAAGTTATAACATATAGGTAACGAGGTGTCACCATTAAGAATATGTTGATATGGTTTAAACACGGCCAAGTTCTGTATAACAAAAGTCAACAAAAGACATTCCTAACTTCAAAAATTGTGCAATTTTACCGTAAAGAAACGAATTATTCACTGATTCAAAAGTACAATAATTGGAAAGTTACTAAACTTCAGGATTACCTGCTGATGTGTGAATTCGTCGTCTGACATCTATCTATCCATGTAGCTATCTATCTATCATCACCTATCTATCATCTATCTATATATCTATCGATCTATTAATCTATCTCACCCTTTTTTTTACTGTTTATACATTCCAAGTTTTAAATATATATAATGTCGAAAAATAGAGCAGAGTTGCCGTTAATCTTAGGGACATGGATAGGAGCAATTCATGCATTGCTCTACAGCACGTGGATAGGAACAATTAATGCATTGCTCTACAGCACGTGGATAGGAACAATTAATGCATTGAACTACAGCACGTGGATAGGAACAATTAATGCATTGCTCTACAGCACGTGGATAGGAACAATTAATGCATTGCTCTACAGCACGTGGATAGGAACAATTAATGCATTGCTCTACAGCACGTGGATAGGAACAATTAATGCATTGCTCTACAGCACGTGGATAGGAACAATTAATGCATTGCTCTACAGCACGTGGATAGGAACAATTAATGCATTGCTCTACAGCACGTGGATAGGAACAATTAATGCATTGCTCTACAGCACGTGGATAGGAACAATTAATGCATTGCTCTACAGCACGTGGATAGGAACAATTAATGCATTGCTCTACAGCACGTGGATAGGAACAATTAATGCATTGCTCTACAGCACGTGGATAGGAACAATTAATGCATTGCTCTACAGCACGTGGATAGGAACAATTAATGCATTGCTCTACAGCACGTGGATAGGAACAATTAATGCATTGCTCTACAGCACGTGGATAGGAACAATTAATGCATTGCTCTACAGCACGTGGATAGGAACAATTAATGCATTGCTCTACAGCACGTGGATAGGAACAATTAATGCATTGCTCTACAGCACGTGGATAGGAACAATTAATGCATTGCTCTACAGCACGTGGATAGGAACAATTAATGCATTGCTCTACAGCACGTGGATAGGAACAATTAATGCATTGCTCTACAGCACGTGGATAGGAACAATTAATGCATTGCTCTACAGCACGTGGATAGGAACAATTAATGCATTGCTCTACAGCACGTGGATAGGAACAATTAATGCATTGCTCTACAGCACGTGGATAGGAACAATTAATGCATTGCTCTACAGCACGTGGATAGGAACAATTAATGCATTGCTCTACAGCACGTGGATAGGAACAATTAATGCATTGCTCTACAGCACGTGGATAGGAACAATTAATGCATTGCTCTACAGCACGTGGATAGGAACAATTAATGCATTGCTCTACAGCACGTGGATAGGAACAATTAATGCATTGCTCTACAGCACGTGGATAGGAACAATTAATGCATTGCTCTACAGCACGTGGATAGGAACAATTAATGCATTGCTCTACAGTACGTGGATAGGAGCAATTAATGCATTGCTCTACAGCACGTGGATAGGAACAATTAATGCATTGCTCTACAGCACGTGGATAGGAACAATTAATGCATTGCT